GGGGGCAATAACTGGCTAAGTTGTCGTTCGATATCTTCTGGGAGACGTTGTTTTTGTTTGCGGATACGATTAAAATGTAGGGGAATGCGGGGTGGCCGCTCGGGCATTCCCTTGTTATAGACCTAGACGTCATCCCCTGATAGGCATCCATCATCACGTGACTGTTCGGTGTTTTTTCCTGCCAGAGGGTTGCCAGAGTTAGGTGTTTGGGAAGAAGAACCTTCGGCCTTGTTACTAGCAGATGTTTTTCCTATGCGAATCAACGACATCTCTTCAGATTCTGAGCTAGAAGGGTAATACATTAAATCGCTTAAGGAATTATGGGAATTCCAGAGAGAGAAAGCTTGAGAATACGCAAGAGAATTCTGAACTTAGAAGGAAAAATGAGGAAACAGCAGGAGAAATTAGGGGAAAGCACCTCTCTATAAATAGGGAAAGTGCCGCACAAAACCCTAATCCATGAGCAACACGTGGCATTAAGTGGTTACAATTAATCAGGGGCATTTATGGTTCATCTTTGGGCACGTACCCCGCACGGGCTTACAGAGGATTAGTAAAGATCACGGGGGAATGGCTAAAACCTACTTAGATCACCTATTACCGAGTGATGAACGGGCTTACGGAGGATTAGCAAAGATCACGGGGACTTGCTGGTTAGAAAAACTGTTAAGTCCTAAAGATTGATCTGAAGCCCGAACGGCTACCAACACATGAAGGAAGCCAAGTGCGGGTAGATTATCAGAGATCTGAAGCCAGGAAAAACTGCTAAGTCCTAAAGATTGATCTGAAGCCCGAACGGGTTAACAGTTCTAAAAAATTATCTGAAGCCAGAATATGATGTCCTAAAAATTGATCTGTAGCCCGAACGGCTAACAACGTATGAAGGGAGCCAAGTACGGGCAGATTATCAGAGACATGAAGCCAGAAAAAACTAAGTACTAAAAAATGAACAGAAGCCCGAACGGCAAACATACGATGTTAGGAGTATTGAATAAAAAAGTCAGAGAACCGTTAAGTAATACAAAACGGACCGAAGCCTGAATGGCGAGTAAATCATTCAATAAAGGCAAGAAAGACAGTATACAGAGTTTTATGCAAAAAAGAGGTATATATTCATCGGCTCTACTGGCCGGGAAATACAAATGAGGTTTTGCAAGGAAAGAGGAAAAAGGGGAAAGGGATTACAATTGCTAAAACTACTAGATACTACTCTATTGCCCTACCCCATTGTCCTCTTCGTCACCCTCCTCCTCATCCGAGTCAGTGAGGGGATCAGGCTCCTTTCCCACTTCACGATCAGCAGCCCGTTGTAAATCCCTTTGATACTTCTCATATTGAGCTTCAACTATGGGCGCCTGGGGAAGATCAGCAAGCTCGACCGGCCTCCCTAGCAATTCTTGAAATTTGGCGACAAAGGGAGCCATGATGTGCTGACAGCCCATGACGTACAAGGATCGGGCCAGGGAATGATTAAACTTTTTCCCCCTGGGGTCCTGGTCGAGCAATTTGACCCCCTCGCTCCGACGGGCGTCACCCGTGGAGAAATGGTCAAGATAATCACCAAAGGTGACTGGGAGTTGCTGTTGTGCGTAATCTTTTTTCAAAATGGCAAACTCCTCAGACCCTTTGAATGACTCCCGAACGGCGGACAGGTCAACCTGTATTTCAGCAGGGCCGTCCGGGATACGAGGGGCGTGCTTTTCAAATTTAACCGAGGCAGCTTCGGCAGCATGGACCTTGGACTGAGAGACCCCGAGCTGAACCCGGAGCTCGCCAAGCTCCGATTCAAGACGTTTCTTCTCCTCAGCATAGGCCTTCCGCTCGGCCTCCAGAGCAGCAATAGCAGCTGCTGCGTTCTGCTCCGCGGAAGTCTGAGCAACGATCAGCTCCCGCTCCTTAGCCAGCCGAGCTTCCTTCAGCTGCAGACTTTAAAGCCCAACCTACAGAATGACGTTCGGGAAATGAGATGGTGAAAGAAAATTTTAAACTAAGAGAGATTTAAACTATGGAATGGCAAGATACCTTCAGAGCTGCCAATGCCAGACATTCCTCGGACTGCTCGACCGACAGCTTGGGAACGGTGAAATTGTTGAAGAATGCAGAGGTAGACCAGATCTGGCTTGCCGAACAGCCACCTCTTTCCACAAACATCATGAACCGGATCCGCTAGGGAAATCCGGTCAACCTGGCCAGATAACTGGACGGTGGATATTTCACCTGTACCCTGGCCGGTTTCTGGAGCAGCTTGAAAGTGCTCGGGAAATTGCTGCAGTTGATCAGAGCCAAACCGATCATCGACCAGCATGGCATCGAACTGGTCCTGATGGACCTGCTGTATCGGCTGTGGCTCGGGAAGCGGTTGAGAAGACCCAGCATCCTGGGCAGGAACAGTAGAGGGAGTAGGTTGGGGGTTCTTCCTGGCCTTTTTTCGCTTACCGACCCCACCAGCTGCCATAACTCTGCTATTGTCCATGGGTAGATCTGGGTTTGGTGCTGAAAAATGACAAAAGGAAATGTTAGTATCGAGCGGCCTTAGCGTGTGAGAAACTAGAAAAAAGAAAAAAGAACGTTTCTCGCACGGGAAGGACCGCCCGGACCATGGCACTTGATTTCTCAAAACAAGTAAACCCAAGAGAACGGGCAGTACCTATCCTGGCTTCAACGAGCCGATCGGGAGTCAGATAACTCATGATGTCCATGCATTTATCTTTCTCCACAGCAAGCACATCCTTGTAAATTTCTTCAGTAAGGACTGGATCAGGAGTCTTGCGTGGGAAGGCATTCCATTTGCGGGGAATTAGGCCGTCCGGGACAGACACGAAGAAAAACCGGTCTTTCCACCCTTTGATTGAAGTGGGATTGCCCTTGAACAGAATATGTCCCGTTCGGGCACTAGTGGCCAGATAGCCGTGGGTTTGTTGAGGGGCTACCTTGAAAAATTGATGGAAGAGTTCTAGGGTTGGTCGGGCACCGGCATCTTTACGACGGCAAATAAAACCCGCCATTGCCCGATAGGAGTTCGGCATAATTTGAGCCGGTACAACTTCATAGAAATTAAAAAATGAAACGAAAAAGGGGTGTAGCGGAAACCTAAGCCCGGCCCTAATTGAGTCAAAATGAACTACAGTCATTCCGGGCCTATGACGCATTGGGTGAAGCCCAGCTTGCAAACGAAAATTCACTGGGTCAGGGATAAGGGCCGGAATTTCGGCCCTATTGTGAGAGGTCAGTTTTTGCCGCCTCTCCCTAATCAGTTTTAGGTCAAGGGTATGGCGAGGGAAATCGTCGGGACGTCCGGCCGCCATGGAAGCTAATTCGTCCTCAGATTTGGTATCGTCGGAATCTTCGCTGGAGGAAGAAGAACTGCTAGAGGAGTCGTCTGTCTCCGCCCTAACCTCCACCGTCATTGCCTTGGAACTTTCATCAAAAGGGACGGTGATAATCTCCACATCACGGTCCTCCCTTTGAGAAGCCATTTCTGAATCAGAACACTGCTGGGGATTCATCTCGACCGAATCAGGGATGAGGCGAGGAAGCAAGGGGGGAAGAGAACCTGAACGACGAAGGCTGCGAGGAATTTCAGAAATCAACAAGGCGCAGAGAATTGCAGAATCGAAACCCGGATTTGAGAAGTTAAAGGCTAATATATAGCCTTGAAACCGCCGTATCAAGAACCAATCAGGGAGCAACACGTCACTAGGAGCTTTTAAGCTAAACGCGTGTCTAATAAAAAGACTAAACGACGGTTACCATGATGAATATGGGGAAATGAAACGACAGCCGTCAAATCACAGCATGGGGAACTGATTACTTCTGTACCCCGATCGCCATTCGGCGAATTGCAACATTGGTATTCATACTTCCTAATGCACTCACTGTTGTTCGAGACATCGGAAGTGGGGGACTTGTGTTGGGATATTGACCTAGATGCCCAATACCCGGATCAAGAAGGCCCAAGATACCCGGCCCAAGCAACGGGCCCATCACTCTATGATGAGTAGATCCGGTGAAGAATTCATGCCGAGCGAGATTCGGCCCAAATAAGGGTTGGCCCAGTAAGAAGACATACCGAACGGAGTTCGGGCTATATATCATACTTGGGCCAATTTGACAACGTCTTCAGCATAGTCCAACATCCAGTTCGAGCAACGGACAACCGGCAAGTGGTCAGGTGCAATTAATGTCGGATTGTGACATCATCAAGTGGAAACATGGGTGACCAAGTCGGTGGAACAACAGCCAATCAGCACAGGGCAGCCCATGCTCTCCATTAGTATAAATAGAAGGTTTAAAATCATTGTAAGGGTTAGCATATCAATACTCAGGCTCTAGAATAGCATCATTGCTCTTATTTCTTGTATTAAAGCATTATTTCCGACCTATCGATCGGGAAATTCCTTGTAATCAGACTGGTTAGTTAATACAAGTGAGCTTTCGAGTATTAGTGAGTTCAGATCTTATATTTTGTTTATACACTTTGATTCTGTATCATTCCTGATATATCCAAAGTTCGTGTTGGACTTTCGGATCTACGGGATTTACCCTCAACAAGAATAAAAAAAATTGCAAGTCGAGTATCATAAGATACAATGACACAATATATTTATATGACGAGAATTTCTTTTTAACGATTTTTAATCATACGAATCTCTAAAAATAGAGTTAGTCATATTTCAAGAAACTCAATATGTTTTAGTCATATTTCAAGAAACTTTCCAACATTAAAACAGGATTAAGAGCCCGTTTGGTGACTTTTGGACCTATCATACTCATCAACCAATCTTTTCATTAAACACGTAGTTTTTTATTTTCGCGCTCTGAGTTGTAATAAGAAAAAGTAAGATTGAACTTATCTATTTTTTATATCATATTTTCTTTATTTTATTAAAAAAAAATTATCAAATATAATTTTTTCATAAACCAACAGAACTAGTCAATCAATTAATTCGACGAAAACTTCATAAACTTAACAATCTACAATTTCAACCAATTTGAATGTTATAAAAAGCGGTTCTAAAATAATCATAGGGGCTCGAGATGAGTGGTGTGTCCGTATATAAATAGTCAAGCCGGTGGAATCATTAGAAATTAAATAGAGGGAGGGGATAATTAAAAAGTATGAACACTATCTTCTTCCTGGCACTCCTTGTTTCCTCACTAGGGATAGCCAAAGGGCTCCAAGAAAAGGGCCCAACCCTTCAAATCACCCATGCTTACAGCTCCAGCTCACCGCTAATCAGGCCGTCCAGATCATGGGCAGAGACGTTGGGCCAAATGCAGACCGACGACGAGGCGCGGCTGAAGTACTTGGCGAGCCTCACCGCCGGCAGATCCGATGTTCCGGTAGCCAATGCCCGGCAGATTACCCAGAGCCAGACCTACATTGTTAAGGCAAAGATTGGGACGCCGGCCCAGACATTGTTGATGGCTGTGGACACTAGCAGTGATGCTGCCTGGGTTCCTTGCTCTGGCTGCGTCGGTTGCCCCACCTCCGCCGCCGTCGTCTTTTTTGATCCCTCCAAATCCACCACTGTAACTAGTCTCTGATTACACCCACATTATATATTCCACTTGAATTAAACAATCCTTTCATTCTATCACACAATATTACTCCATCAAAGGTATGTTTGGGAGTTAAGGAAAGCAATGGAAAAGCAATCATACCATTGAATTAAAATTCATTTTAAATTGAACTTAAATTATCGTTTAGTTACTCGGTTATCCTTCAAAACCTCTCGTTTTGGAGAACTTAAAAATGGAGCTTTTGATTGATTTTGGAGGATAACAAAAACCTTCCAAAATCATTCATCCATGTTTTTTAAACTCCCAAACACACCACTCTCATAGTAACTGTTAATAAAAATGTTTTCAAAAGCACTTTTAAACACTTGTTATTTATAGAGAAAATTAGGCAAATGACCCCTTGAATTATTTGTGATTCTACACTCACAACTGCAAAACTTGCAGAAACACTCTTCAACTCGTTGAAAATTAAGTAATCCGATCATTTGGGATTTGATTGCAGAATCCCAAATGATTTGAGTTCTTATTTGTTGAAGATTTACACTAGAAATCTATAAACTAATAAAGTGCTATATTAAGAAGGGCTATTCTTCCTATTTGTCCCATTTCTATTAGGGAAAATGGAAACTAATAATCCAACCGTTTAGCGGTTTTCTTATAATAATCCCACCTTTTGATTATTCATGAACAATACAACCTTTGCACTCCATCTTCATTCACTGGTCCCTGACCGATTTTTGACCTGTTATTCCATGTTATTTTCTTATCTTTGAAAAACATTATGTGATCATAACGTGGAAATTATGGTATAATATTTTACAAAGACAAGAAAATAACTTGGAATAACAGGTCATAAGTCGGTCAGGGACCAGTGAATGAAGATGGGGTGCAAATGTTGGATTATTCATGAATAATCAAAAGGTGGGACTATTGTAAGAAGACCGCTAAAAGGTTAGATTATTAGTTTTCATTTTCCCTTTCTATTATTTACTCCCTCCGGTTCTGAAAGATCTTTACACTTTTCATTTTTAGCAGTACCAAAAAGATCTTTACATTTCCTTATTTGCCTTATTTGGCAAATGAATCTATACAAAACAGTGCCAAACAGTGTTTATTTCCTTAAAACTGTGAAGTCAAAGTGTCAATATTTTTTGGAATCAGAGGGAGTATATGATTAAAAATGTTTTTATACTTTTAGGTGTCAACCGCCGGCGGGTTCAACCTCACCACCGGCGGAGCCGTCTTGGCAGGTAGCCTGTTGCAAGACAACGTCACCCTCGCCGTCGACGCTATCTCCAACTACACCTTCGGCTGCATCCAGAGAGCCTCCGGCAGCACGGTACCCCCTCAGGGCTTATTGGGCCTCGGCCGTGGGCCATTATCACTCTTAAACCAAGCCCGGGACCTTTACAACTTGACATTCTCCTATTGCCTGCCGGCCATCACGACATCCAGCTTCACCGGCTCACTAAGGCTAGGCCCAAGTGCTCAGCCCAAGAACATCAAGTTCACCCAGTTGATGATGAACCCTCGGCGGCCGTCCGTGTACTACGTCAACTTGACCGCGATTTTCGTCGGCAATAAGAACGCCAACATCGATCCGGCCGCCCTTGCTTTTAACCCGGTCACCGGCGGGGGGACTGTTATCGATTCAGGTATGTAATTAAAGTCTTCGAATTTCAGAATAAAGAATATAATTCTCACATATACTCACAATAAGATAAATGCCACCAAAATGATATTTTGATATCTCAAATACGGAGTGTTACGTGAAACAAATCCGTATCCTAATATATTTAGAAAGCTCATTTCGTAAATCTAAGATTGGTTGGAAGCTAATGAAATTTATGAAATTTGATTAGAGATATTAAATCTATTGAATTGAAAAAAAAAAATATACTAGTATTCCGTAAACAAAATCAATTAAAATTAGGATAAAATAGTTAAAATAGTCATCTTTCACAATTTCGGTCAATTTAGCTAAAATGTAATTTCAATCTTACTTATTTTAGTAATAGTATAATTTAACTCGCGAAAGTTATGTATTTTGCAAAAAAGTTGATTAATAAAGTTTTAATATATCACTTCGAATTTGACCTAAATCATTTAGCGTAACGATCTAAAATTATGTGCAATTAATTAATTCAAAAAACACCTTTAGCATGTTCAGATCCTGATTTATCAACATGACACAAGATATAATGATTTCATCAACTTGGTAAAACAACTGCTTCAAGAAAAACTTGGTAAAACAATGAAGTAAACTTACCTTTTTTCACAAATTTAAGTAAAGTTAATATTATCATATATCATCATATACCCGCACGGGTAGTTCAGTTGGTTCACTGGTGGGAAATTTGGATCAAAGGATCACGGTTCGAATCCCGCAATGACCCCGTGGAGGTTACAACCTCTGAAATGGGTTGGACCTCTGACCCGCACGGGTATATGAGTCTACTGCCACTTTGCTGACTGAGTCATCCCTGTCAGGGTGTGGGGCTCAGGGTGGAAGATTCCACCTTTTTTGGATCAATATTATCATATACAAACAACTGTGTTGGCCGTAATTCTATAATGAGACAATTCTTAAACATTTCAATATACTTGAGATATTCATTTACTTCATGTAAGTTCTTAGAGTATAAATTGTGCAGTTGAAGAATCAAAATGGATGAATGACATGTTATGTACGTGAATAGGTACGACGTACACAAGGCTAGTAACGCCGGCGTACGTAGCCGTAAGGGATGAATTCCGGCGGCGGATGAATGACTCGACGCTGTCAGCTTTGGGAGGGTTTGACACCTGCTACAAGAATGTGGTGACTAAGATACCAACCCTAACGTTCGTGTTCAACACGATGAACGTGACGCTGCCCCCGGAAAACTTCCGTGTCAACAGCTCCACCGGGAACCTCACCTGCCTGGCCATGGCGGCCACCACCGGGTTCAACGTCATCGGCAGCCTGCAGCAGCAGAACCACCGCGTCCTGTTCGATTTGCCCAATTCCAGGCTAGGGGTTTCTCGTGAACCCTGCAGTTAGATTTTTGAACTGAATTTCGGGGTTACAAATAAAACAGAGTTATTTGATTTTTAAAAAGTTAATTAACGTAATTGTTTTGTGGGTTTTTCTACGGAGTATATCTTTATTTTGTTGTCGGATTACTATGGCCAAATCTTGATTTCATAGTTGCCTTATATGGCTAGTGATTCTGTTACTGTGCCCGCAAAGTCTTCGTCGGTCAATAGCCATTGATGATGAAATATAAAGCGACTCTTACTTGCACTATAATAATGTTCAATAATGGTGTATACTTTTGGTATCTCACATAGTATGTTTTTGCTGGTCTGGTGTGGTCTGGTCAAGTTTGAACTGGTCTGGTCTGGTTTTATTGTATTTTTATAACTATTCAAGTCTGGTCTGAATCTGTCTGGTTTGGTCTGGTCTGGGATGAATTACAGTCCAAGTAAAAACATCCCTACTCTATCTATAATACAGTTAATTGTTGCATATTATTACAATATCATTAATTAATATCTAAATTGTTGAATTGCAGTATCCTAATTAGCCCACGTATATAAGGTACAGTAATTTAAGAATACCGTAAAATTTGCCTACTTTTAATGTAACATAAATGGGTTAAATATTTTGTTTTCTATATTAATATTTTTGGTTATTTTCTACTACGTATATTAATATTTTTGGTTATTTTCCATCATTTGCAATGGAGTTAAAGATTCATTATTTTTTGGTTTGGGATTATGATGGAATAAAGTAAAATGGGCTTTTCACTAAATTGTCTGCGCTTCTTTGTTATGAAGTAGCAGTCAGTCCATGCAATTTTGGACGGAATTTTCACTATAGATCATCAGGAAACAGTCTCTCTGTGCTTTAGTACATTGGTAAAACTGCGTATATCCGATCCCCTTACCCCATCTTAGGTGGGAGCCTTTGCGACACTGGAGTAAATGAAAATGATGAAATGATTAATATTTCTGGTTATTTTCTTTATTCTTTTTTACATTGGCTGTAAGAATCTTGAACATAACACAAGAGCTGGAAACCTAGAAGAGAGATTTTCAATTGAATAAGGTAGGAAACCTCGTCAAAATCGATTTGACTTTATTGGAACAAAATCTTCACTCAAAAAATTACATGAAAAGGTTATTTGAAAATCATAAAAATGAATGTCAAAACTCACAAAAACAGAGGAATATGAGGAATATGAGGAGGAGGAGGAGGAGGAGGAGGGGGTGGAGGTGGAGTAGACGAAGAAACTTGAGTGGCGTTGGCAGACGTTGAAGTTGGCAGTGGCGGTGGGAGAGTCCTCATCGGCGATGCACAAAGAGGAATCCATGGGGATAATTTGGTGGGCAAGGGAAACGTACGATAGATTTAGTGCACAAGGGAGAGAAGAGTTGATGTGAAAAGAGAATGATGGATCTTATCATCTCAAGTGCAAAGGAGACAAGAGTCAGTATAAAACAGGGCCAAGTTTGGGATGCAATTACTTGGATGAAAAAACATACATACATCTATTTTAAAAAAATCCCCTTTTTTACTCCTTTATGAGCCCATTACTTTAGGGGTTAGGGAAAGAATATTACTAAATAATATTACGAAACAATTGGACAAAAAATGACCCCTTTTTATTTTGAAAATTGATACTAGAAATGGGTATGAACACTATGATACCCATATTAGGCTCAGTTGGCCAATACAGTGACCAATTACATTACCTAACATAACTAGATACAGTTACATCGACCTATCAGTTACACTTACCCGACCAGTCAGTTATAGTTACCCGACCCATCGGAGTTATCTGACTCGTCAAATACAGTTACCTGATTGGTCTATTACAACTATCCGACCCGCCAATTATAGTTATCCAATTTGATCACTTATAGTTATTCAACTTGACCAATTACAATTACTGAGTTTTACCATTTACCAGGATCTGATAATGATTACCGCGACTGCCACCTTTGGCCACTGCCAGCGACCACCACCTTATAGCACCGGCAGTGATCCTCACCGCCAACACCACGCCCCAACCCTGTCACACCTAGCCCCCTGGCCTCCCCTACATCACCCCAATCCCTTGCCTCACTTAGCCCTTCCCCTGCATCACCCTAGCCCCCCGCCTCACCCAGCCTCCTATCTTGCGTCACTCCAGCCTCTGCCTCACCCATCCCCTCCCCTGTGTCACCCCAGCCCCTTCGACACCACCACGCCCAACCCTTACCCCTCTCCTGCCCAGCCCTGATCCACCCCTTCACAGTCTCAATGTAGCCCCCACATACCAACCCCGATAACACCTAAAAAAGAAGAGAAATTCTCAATGAGGAATGTGGGGCCTCGTTTCGACCAAGGACACTACCTTACTCCTCCACATAAAGGAGTGGGGGACTGTGAGACTACATCGGCCCCATAGATGACAAAACCCCAAAAAGCAATTGCAAAAAGGCAACACCAACACTTCGGCCTCAACCCTAAAACTAAAAGTGACGCTCTTGACACCGCAACGTCCACAAGCATATGGAAAGGGATACACATCATCTTTAAAAGCAAATAACAATCATCGGTACCAAACAAAATCCAATGACATCGTCCAAAGATGCCAACGAACCACACCGCAGTCAGACACAATAAAAGAGCAATAATGAAGTATCAATTACATATGACTACACGTCGGCCAAAAACACTAGAGCATGAACATTATACTCCCTTTCGCTTCGAAGTACTCTCAACTCAGAGAGTGGGGGACTCCTGATAGAGTATATGAGCTCAGACCCAATGACCCAGCTCAGATGACCCTCCATCGACCAAACTCACTAGTTCTCAGAATACAGCCTGGAAGCCTAGGAGCAAATGATGGGTCCTCCATCGGCCATGTCCTCCGTCGGCCTGGCCCTCCATCGGCCAACGAGCCTGTAAAAGACTAGACTTTATACTTAACTCTAAAAATCATGTACTCTACCTAGTAGAGGTCTCATTTTGTACCGGGCCTCCCAGGCTCAAGTTCTGGGAATCCAAATCCACATTTTCCCTATAAATACTCCCATAGGGGGTAGTTGTAGGGGTTTGAAAAATATTAATTGCTCACTTTCTCTCTCTAACTCTCACTTTTCTCTATCAATAAGCATGACAAACATACAACCAGAAACTTTTACAATCATTTTAAATAATATAAAAACTAGAATGTAGGAATTCATGTTTCCCAAACATACATTAATCTCTTTTTTGTCAATAAAAAATAAGGTCCCACTTTTGTCTATTTAATACTCCTTTCATTCTTTATTATTTGTACCTCTATAGCCAACATTGCCTTACTCTCAATCCATTGTAGATGTGTCGTGTCCGCGACTTCAGTCTTCGCCAGATCTGACAAACGCATGCCACCATTGAAACGTTGAAGTGGTGTTTCAGGCAGACATGGATCAGGATCGGAAAGTTGGACCGGCGAATCAGGCACACACACATCTTAATCGAATACTTGGTCCGACGATTCAGGCACATATGGATAAGGACTGATCACCTCAGAGAGGATATTCATCTGGTCTATTATGGTAGTGCGATAAGAGAGTGAAGGAAGGAGGGGGTAGAAGGTGAAGAGGTTGAGGGTGATGTATACGAAGTAGTGGAGATAATGTTAGGCGGCGAGATGCGAAGTGGAAGATAACATTAGGTGGTGGGGTGTAATTAAGGTAGTGGGTGGGGAGAATTAAATGAGTTTAGGTGTACGGATAATAAACGACGGTTAAAGATGGGAGTGTATATTGGTATATTTAAAGTAAAAACTTTCCCTAAATGGAAAGGATGACAAATAAAAAAAACACAGACCAAAATAGAATAAGAGAGATAATAAAGAACTAAGGAAGTACTAAGTAGATCATTCCTTATTAGTTGAACTTGTGTCAAACACTTTTTGGGGTACACACTTTGAGGAAAAAATATTTTGTGTGTACAGACAAAAAAGTGCTTGCAGAGAGAGTAAGTAAAAGTGTGTAGCTCAAAAAGTGTGTACCCAAGTCCAACTCTATTTTAACGGTTCTTTGGAACCGTACCAAAGATAAAATACGTTTTATCTGTACAGACAAAAAAAACCTTACACAGACATTATAAAAAAATGTGTACACAAAAAGTGTGTACAGCAAGCAAATTCTGATTAAAAAACGGGTTTTCCGTATTCTGAATATCTGATATGGATGCACAATTTTGTGACTAGAGCTTTTTATTCGTCAACCCTAATCGAACAAATCTGAAAATTCTTGCAATTCGATCATTTGTCGTATATCTTAGCTTTCTTTCCTTGATTGAAGGTTTCTTTAATATCTGCTTGTTTTTCCTTTTGCCCCCGGAACAAGATGTTCAAGAACACTTTCCAGTCCGGTTTCCTGTCAATCTTATACAGCCTTGGGTGCGTATTTTTTCCTCTATATACACGCATACTTAGCTTCGTTACCCCCTTTTATAATGAGTAAAATTTATTTCTCTCTTTTTACGTTCTTAAACATTACTTTCTAGTATTCTGATTTTCCTGTTTTTGATTTCTTGCGAGATAACAGGAGCAAGCCCTTGCAGATATGGGACAAAGAAGGTAACGAAAACAAAAAGATGTTTTTCCCCTCCTTACTGTTATTCTCTGCGATTTTGCATACAATAGCATATTGTTTGCCACTAAAATTGATGTAGGGATATGTCATTTTCTGTAATTTTACATTGATAGTTAATGTCACAGCATTTCCTGTAGTCTATAGTTAGTTCACGGACCTGAGAAATATTCCACTTTATGTACCTTTTTATAAAGTATCGCACCGGGACTAAATTTAACCCTGTTTTATTTAAGTGTTTTTCTTTTGTTTTAATTGTTTTTTAGTTTCAAATGGCTATGTTAAACGCCTGCAAGATGATGATATACAATCCAATGTTATTGAAATTGCTGGATCCAATGTGCAGTCTACCTTTATAACATGCCCCGCAGACCCAAATGCAACCCTTGGGATAAAGCTGCCATTCTTAGTTCTGATTGCCAAAAACATGAGCAAGTACTTCAGCTTTGAGATTCATGTGCTGGATGATAAAAATGTCAGGAGAAGGTTTCGAGCTTCTAATTTTCAAGTCTGTAAGTCCACCCTGCTTGTTGTTTCTTTCTTACTGGTGACCTTGGAATTTAAATTTGGTTAGAATAAATATATTAAATGTATTTCGTTTTCGATTATTTTAGTATTTATATACATGTTGATTATCAGATTAAGAGCAATCATGTTTACACTAAATGAGCTTGCATGAACAAGAAGAAAGAGAGCTAAATTCATTACTAATGAAAGAGAGAATACAGAGTTCGTTAACAAGAAGAAAAGCTATGGTTCAGTTTATATAACGTACTGAACATAACAAACTCTATAACTAACTAATAGTCTAGAGGTTTCTAGTTAGTTCTATTAGTTTCCTCTTCATGCAGACGTGTGCATGCTCCATCTTCAGCTTTGAGCTTTGAGTTCCAATACCCCCCTCAATAGGAGAGTACAGATTTCGTACGCTCATATTGGATAAGAGAAAATGAAACGTATCACGACCCAATGGTTTTGTAAGTATATCTGCTAATTGGAAACGGCTTGGTACATAAAGAGTGTGAATAATTCTAGCTTGAATCCATTCTCTTATGAAGTGACAGTCAATTTCCACATGTTTTGTTCGTTCACGATGAACTGGATTTGCGGCTAGAGCCAAGGCAGATTTGCTATCACAGTATATAGTAGCAGATGTAATAGGAAGCCTGAAGTTTTTGAAGAGTTGCATTAATCCCAGAATTTCTGCCACTGAAGCAGCAAGAGCTCGATACTCTGCTTCAGCAGAGCTTCTTGAAACAGTCTGTTGTTTCTTGGATTTCCAAGAAATTAGGGAGTTGCCAAGGTTTTGAAAGGCGAAATCGGGCCTCGAGGCGTTCTGTGGTAGCCTCACGAGGCGTAAGCCTCGAGGCGTAACGAGGCGTAAGCCTCAAAATTAATTTCTTAAATGTTAAAACAATATTGCAGCTAAACAAAATCACAAGTAAAATGATTTGTTTACATGAATTTAAATAAACTAGATACACAAAATAGCCAATTAATTAATAATCAACTTAAAAAAGAAGATATAACCAAACTGTAATGAAGTTATTTATAATATTTCTAATTAAATTGTAAATCTTGATCCAAGTAAAGTAGTAAACTAGTAAAGTACGTAATATTAAACAAATAAATAAGCTAAATGATAGTTTTATGATCACTCTAAAGTTTAAACCATAATAATACAGTAATAATATTGAATGGCAACTATAATATCTTATACCAAAACAACTAAGAAGTGGGGCGGTGGGATGTTTTATAGTTTGCTGGCTGAAAAAGCATTAATACGTAGTAGATACAATAAAAACTGAACTTTTAAATAATTAAAAATTTAAATAAATACTCCGGTACATTTAAACAATAAATACAATAAGAAACAAACTTCAGAAGCTGCGGTGGGATATTTTATACAAGTGGGCGGTGGGATATTTTACTCTATTTACTTGATAACATCTGGAATGGAAGCAACTCTGAAAGATCGAAGTCTATGTAGTATGTACTCAGCTTCTAGGCTTCGACTGACAGTTCTTCATGTCGCTCTTCGTAGTAGTGGAGCTAGGGCTGTCTTGTGTCGACTAAGAGATAAACATGCAGTAATTTTTTTATTTTTAAAAATCGAGGCCCCCAATAATTCAAAAAAAAGCCCAAGTTGCATTTAATTAAATGCGTACGCCTCAACTTCGCCTTGCGCATTGGACCGCATCACCGCCTCAGTAAAAAAAAGGCGTAAGCCTTGTTAGTGGAAGGCCAGGCTTAAGCCTTGCAGACGACTTTTTAACGCTTTAGCGCCTTTGCGCCTCAGAGGCGTAGATGCGAAACGCCTTTAAAAACCATGGGAGTTGCCCAGAAAAATACGATAACCTGTGAGTCTGTGACTGATCTTCTGGTGTCAATACAACTAGCCCAATCAGCATCTGAAAATCCTTTGAGTTGTAAGTTGGAAATGGAAGAATACAATAAACCTTGTCCTATAGAACCTTTCAAATATCTGAGAATCCTGTGAGCAGCTGAAAGGTGAGACTGGCCAGGTTTTTGTAAATATTGAGCTAATGAGTTCCCAACAAAACTGATATTAGGTCTAGTGATGGTTAGATATAAAAGCTTTCCTATTAAGGACCTGTATGTAGAAGGATCACTAAGATAGTGATCATCTGTACTATTGAGGTGGAGTTTAGTGCCCATAGGAAAAGTAACAGGTTTGCAGTCCTGATATCCAAACTGATGTAGAATATCCATAGTATACTTTCTTTGACACAGATAGATTCCTTTGGAAGAACGAGCTACTTCTAATCCCAAAAAGAATTTAACTGGTCCTAGATCTTTGATTTTGAACTTAGCATTCAAAAATTGCTGGAGAAGATTAACCTGATGCATGTCAGATGAAGCAACCAGAATATCATCTTTATATACCAAGAGAATCAAGGTAAAATGTCCAGTGTGCATTGTGAACAAAGAGTAGTCCACATGGGACTGAAGAAATCCATATTCTTTTAATTCTGTGGAAAGTTTAGAGAACCATTGCCTACTAGCCTATTTTAGACCATACAAACTCTTAAGTAGTCTGCATACTCTGTGCTTTGTCTTTTGTTCAAAACCTTGTGGTATGGTCATGTAAACTTCTTCATGAAGATAACCATGAAGAAAAGCATTGTGAACATCCAATTGGTCTAGAAACCATCCTTGTGAAGCTCACTGAAGCAACTAAGGAAAGAAGAATCCTTACGGTTGTGAATTTGGCTACAGGGGAGAAAGTATCAAGAAAATCCAATCCTTCAATCTGAGTATATCCTTTGGCTACAAGTCGAGCCTTATACCTTTCTATGCTATCATCACCATGATATTTTACTTTATAGACCCACTTACACCTGATAGGAGTTTTTCCAGGAGGTAGGTCAGTAATAAGTCAAGTTCCATTATACTCAAGAGCATTTATTTCATCCTGCATAGCTTTTCTCTAGTTTGGGTCAGTGGAAGCTCTGGCATAAGATGTGGGTTCAGAAATTTGAGATTTAGTGACAGAAAAAGCTGTGTGATGAAGAAAATTTGTCTAAACTCATGTATTTGTGAATGGGATGAAGTGTCTTACTTGTTTTGTTGATGAGATTTGAAGAATTATCAACTGAGGGTGTAACTTCAGTGATTGCACATACATAATCCTTGAGGTGATTGGGAACCTTTCTGGATCTTGGAGGCCTTGATGAATTGAGATTACTTAGATTAGGAGGTGGTGAGATATGAGTGGATGAAGTATGATCAGAAGAAGAAGATGTGATAACAGAATCCTGAACATGAGGAGAAGTGTCTGAGACTGGAATGGGAATGACAGTGTCATTAGAGTGGGTAGAAGAGCCTTGGAAAGGAAAAATGGACTCATGAAATACCACATCTCTTGAAACAAAGGTTTGACAGGTTTCTAAGTCATACAGTTTGTATCCTTTTGTATGAGAAGGATATCCTATGAAAATGCACCTTCTAGATCTTGATTGGAATTTGGTCTTATAACCAGTGAGATTAGAAGCAAAACATAGGCAACCAAAAGATCTTAGGTGAGAGTAGTCTGGAGTTTGATTGTGGAAAACATCAAATGGTGATTTATTGTTTAGGACCAATGTTGGTAACCTATTAACAATATGTACAGCTGTGAGGATACAATCACCCCAGAAAGGTAGGCTAAGATTAGCTTGAAATCTGAGCGCTCTTGCAATATTGAGAAGTGTTTGATGTTTTCTTTCAGTGATTCCATTTTGTTGGGGGGTATATGGGCATGTTGTTTGATGAATGATACCTTCGTTAGAGTAAAATTCTGGAAGATGAAATTCAATATCATTATCAGTTCGTATTACTTTGATATGAATGGAATATTGTGTTTGGATGAGTTTATGGAAGGATATAAGATGCTGTTTGGTTTTAGATTTGTGTTTCATTAAACAACACCAAACAACTCTTGAAAAGTCATCAACAATGGTTAAAAAATATTGAAAACCATCATATGTAGGAATAGAGAAAGGACCCCAGACATCACAGTGAACAAGATCAAAGATTTTCAAGGATTTTATTGAACTTTGAGGAAATTGCAACCTATGTTGCTTTGCCATAAGGCAAATGGTACAAGTTTTATTGTCTAGAGAAGAGAAATATAAAACATCTTTCAAAACTTGAAGTTTGGAATCAGATGCATGACCAAGTCTTTGATGCCAGATACACGATGAAACATTATGAGAGAAAGATTAAATGTTTGCTACAGATTTGTCTTGCTGAGGATTCAGTATGTACGGTCCTTGGATCAACTCAGCAGTGCCAATCTTCAACCTCAAATTTCTATCTTGTAAAACACATCCATTGGCAGAAAATATAAGGTTTAGTGATGTTTCAGATAGCAGTCTACTTACTGAGAGTAGATTAACACTGAATTCGGGAACATATAAGATTCTGGTTAGGATTACATTTGGAAAAAGCTCAATTGTCCCAATATGTGTAACTGAAGCTTTTGATCCATCTGGTAGATGAACAAAAATATTTGAAACATGGCTTGAAGAATGGAAAAGAGATATATTACTGATCATATGATCAGTAACACCTGTGTCAAGTATCCATGAAGAACAAGATGGAAGAATAGTATTGGCACTAATCATGGATGAATAAAAACTAAGAAAACTACCTGCATTAGGTGTTTGATTAGAGTTTAAGGGAGTTAGAGGAGTGTTTTGAGAACTGGCAAGGTTCTGAATTAAGCTAAGCAGGTGAAGATATTGGTCCTGAGTCACCATTGAACTTGACTTGTTATCAACAACCTGTGGAGCACTTTCTATCTGAGTGTTGTAGGCATTATTTGTCCTGTTCTCTCTTGTCTTGCAGCATTGTTCTATGTTTGCTTTCCCTTTGGTTTGTACCCAGGTGGATATCCGTGTAGCCTATAGCACTTATCAACAGTGTGGTTAGTATATCCACAATGTGTACAAACCACTTTGCTCTCTTTCTTAGGTTTATAACCTCTATTGTTCATGCTATAATTAGCTGCATAGTTAAAAAGAGAGTTAAAAGGAGCCTGTTCACTGATGTTTCCTTTACTCATCATAGCAATAGACTCAATCTGCAAACCATTTCCCACGCTCCTTTGCATTTCATCTTGCAGAACATAGCTGAAAACTTGATTCAGACTAGGAAATGGCTTTATGACAAGTATTTGTCCTCTAATCCCAGCAAAAGTATCGTTTAAACTCATCAAGAATTTAATTGACATGTTTCTTTCTTCTCTTTCAGTCATAGTTTTCAGAAAATCGCATTTACAGCCTTTGACCACTCCACACGTACATGAAATAATAGGATTGTATTGGCTCAACTCTTTCCACAATGAATCTAGTTTATTTTAATAATCTGTAACACTTTGATTACCTTGAGTTGTTGTATAGATCTGCTTGCGGATAAAAAATCCTGGGCAAATTAACGTTCATTTAACGTAGACCACATCCATGCAACACTTTTTTCGTACAGAATACACTGAGCAACTTCTTTTGTGCATGAATTTAAAATCCAGGATTGTGTCATAAGATCACATCTCTCCCAAAGTCCATAGTTCTCATCATCTGGACTAGGTCTTGCAAGTGTTCCAGTAAAATCCAGGATTGTATCATTGCTTTGCTCCAAGAATGATAATTGTTACGATTGAGCTGTGGATTAACAAGATTAGAGTTAGGATTATCTCCAGATCCTATGTAATATGGACTGGATATATCTTCAACGGATGATCTTCTTGAATCTGTGTTCGGCATGATGGGGATATGATCTTGTTTGTCGTTCGCAGCACGTGTTTAGAGCTTCCGCTCTGATACCATGTTGATTATCAGATTAAGAGCAATCATGTTTACACTAAATGAGCTTGCATGAACAAGAAGAAAGAGAGCTGAATTCATTACTAATGAAAGAGAGAATACAGAGTCAGGGGCGGCTTTGAGGGCAGTTGGGCCAGACAACTGCCTTGGGCCTCAACTACCAAGGGGGCCTCCAAAAAATTCTACTCGGGTATTAGTATTAGGTGTTATTCGTAGACCGCCAATACACCAAGCGGCAATTGCAAGCAGAAATCAACTTCATAGTTCACTTTTGACTATTCATCCTTCATCAAAGTTGTAGCTAATGAAGTCTTCTATCCAACACAACTTGCAAAACTGGATTTGAATCATCCAATAAAAATATATGAATAAAATGGTGGAAGGTCGCATTCTGAAATCTCAATAGAGATTGTCTGACTTCATCGTCTGTTTTCACCTTGCTTCTCTCCGATTCTCACAATGGTGTATTCATATGATTTGTATCCCTTGAAGTTGGCTTTGAAACTTGAATCATGTTTTTTGGATGTTCCTAAGAAACGATATGCTTGTATGATTGACAGAACGTCATCCTGACCGTTGTTTTCAAGCTCTATTCGTGTTCTTTTGATCCCGTAGCCAATTCTAGAGCTCTTTTGTCTTCAAAACTTTGTCTTTAACACCTCACTGATCTCCAATGCTCCTAATCAACTCTAAAATGCTTCTCAACTCGTCCCTATTGCTTCTTAAACACCGGTGACAGACTCAAATTCCCTTATTTTGACTCCAAAAATACCAAAACTCGAACCAACGGCCGGTAAATATGACTTGAGCTTAAAATTGAGACTTATGACACCTTAAAGTTACGAAAAACTATCAAAAGGCGATCTCAACACGCATCAACGTCCAACACAGACCGCTAATCGGCTACTGTATATATGCCTCACTGCCCGTCGTCGACATGGGTCCTTGGTTAGTGAATCAACTAAGACTCTTCAGCTCTTCTCTCTGAGTCTCGTTCTTGAAGTCTCTTAATACTTTTACAAGTACAAATTTGCCTTGTGTTTTGAATAAGTTTACATTTTAAAATTTATCCTTTTGAATATTACAAACATTATATCGTGGACTTTGAATATGCTTTTTTTCATAAGGCGATTTTTATTCAATTTATCTGATTTTAAAAGTAATTTGTACATAGTAAATATTTTTCGTCTGGGGCCTCCAAAATGCTCAAGCCGCCTCTGTACAGAGTTCGTTATCAAGAAGAAAAGCTATGGTTCAGTTTATATAACGTACTGAACATAACAAACTCTATAACTAACTAATAGTCTAGAAGTTTCTAGTTAGTTCTATTAGTTTCCTCTTCATGTAGACGTGTGCATGCTCCATCTTCAGCTTTAAGCTTTGAGTTCCAATAATACAGAGTAATTGAAATGAAATATATGACTAAAGTGAGTTCAAACATGTGTCTAAAACTGAAATTTTGAGTGAACTTATTTGTTATTTCCAAAATGTTCATTCCTTGTAAATTTTCCCACTTATTTCTTTCTTATTGTCTTTCCCTAGCGTTTTTGGGAGTCTAAACTGACCCTATATGATTCTATTGTGTAAATTGGCACTCTGAGTTCATAACTGACTTGATTTCAAAAAGATAATGCCCAGAGCCCCACAGATGGACTTCTGACATATTCTGGTTCTATATTTCTATGGAATAAACTCTCTCTTTCCCCCTTTTCAGTTTTAGTATTCATCCTCTTATATCACTGTATGACTGTATGTCCATCCATAGCTTATTAACTTTAGTTTTGATGGGGTCTTAGTTCCAAGGCTGGTACATACTATAATCCGTTTGGTAATTAGTTTGCACAAATGATTGAACCTACTAAAATATCTGAAAGGAAAAATGTTCGGTAAGATGGTTCATCACTTCATCCATCTTAGCCAAGTATGTAAGTGAAAAGCTACTTAATCTTTAGGTGAGCTAGAACTTACTACCAAACAAAGCCTTAGTCTTGTCTGGGCGTCAGGCACATAGTGCCTATAGAGAGTAATACTTTGTATATGCTGATTCGTCTAAAAATTTGATATTCTGGAAGGAAAAACCTTTTGTAACATTCATTTTTGTCAAATATGCATGTAGACATCAACTTATTTTGTTGATAAGATTAAGTAGAATAAGCTAGAACTGACTACCAAACATGGCTCAAGTATGGCATATAGTGCCTAAAGAGATTTATGTGTACTGATTAGTGTAATTGTCTATTCAGTGTTTTGAAAGGAAAAGTTTTTCGTAATAACACCAAATATGTTAATTGAAAAGTCACTTAGTCTCTTGATAAGAGTAAGAAGTACAATAAGCTAGAGTTGAGTGACTGTCTCACCGACTATATATACTCATTAGTGGTCTACTCTATTTTCCATGTTTGGGTACTCGTATTTGCCGTTAATACAAAGTACTACTATTTGATATTTGGCTGTATGTTTTAGGCTGTGACAAGAGTGAAGCCATATATATGCACAATGCCGTTGAGGTTGGATGACGGGTGGAACCAAATCCAACTAAACCTGGCAGATTTGACACGCCGAGCATATGGGACCAACTATGCAGAAACTCTGAGAGTTCTGGTGCATGCAAATTGCCGCCTCAGGAGAATCTATTTTTCTGACCGCCTCTATTCTGAAGAGGAGCTCCCCCCTGAATTCAAACTTTACCTCCCAACCATTCAGGTAATAGTAATACATGTTTACTACTTTACTTATTTCAATTTTCAACAACATGGTCTTATCCCCCCCCCCCCCCCCCCCCAAAGGCCCAAATCTTGTTGGCTTTATTATTATCATTACGGAGTATTATTTATTATTGTTGTTATTAATTATTTTCATCACCACCACAACCACCTTCATCAAATTCAGCATCATCACCATTAATGTTTTCATTCTATTTTATTGAATGCAGCAGAGGACCTGAGTGGATCTCTTTCAAAGCAAGTATGAGTCCTCATGAGCTTTGTTGTCTGGCAATGAACATGTTTTTAGTTTAGTTTGTGGTAGTGAAACGGCTCGAAGTTTTAACTTTTATACATACCATATTTGCACCAAGATTTATTAGTATATGTATAATGTTGATTTTGTTGTTTGATGTGACTTTTCTCGCTCTAAAAAACATGTCGGAGTATAGAGTATAAGTACGAGTATCGTCTCCACAAAGACGGAAAAAGGGAATCAAGAATTAAATACATTTAGCGATAAAAATAAATAAAATAAATGCAATTGTATGAGATTTAGATTTTTACAAAATAAAATGCGACTAAACTAAATTAAAAGGCTCTTTCTAATTAATGATGAAAGAGAACAAGTATTGATTCTGGGCCTCTGGGGTAATCTTATTTCATGGCTAATCAAGCTTAGTCACATGAAAATTATTTAATTCAGCAACGCTGATCAATATTAAGTTCTTACCGCTCTCGTGGTGTAGTGTACAATAAATTAAGAGAATCAGGCTGATCTCTCATGCGATAAGTTTATCTTTAATAGCATGTGATAGGATCATAGGAGGCATAGGACATCGAAAAATATTACAATCTGATGTTGTACAATATGTGCATTTTGTAAGGAAAATAAGTAACTTGAATTTTATTATGTGCATGTTTGGCAGTCATAAGTCTCTGCCTTCGAGCTTTTGTACTGTTTAAAAAATCTCTAAAAACTTTTAGTTGTATGTTTGACATTAAAAATTTTTAAGAGCTTTTCAAAAAATAAAAGATCTTTTTTGATTTGCTACGGGGAATAACATCTAAGATAAGACCGTGACTTTTAGTATTAAACTATTAATTTGTCCTAACAGCTTGTATACCAAACGGAACTATATCAAACAGTCGGCTTTTTATCAAACAGCTATCACCTTTTCTTTTTAAGATCTTTTCAGTCACTAAAAGCTAACAATTTCTAAAAAGATCACAAAAGTATCTTTTTAGCTAGTCGTGTCAAACATACCCTATGAGTTCGCACACTAGCCGAAGTAAAGAAATACTCTCTTGTTCTCGGAAATTTTTACCACTTTCAATTTCTCCTTTTTCTTCTATATTTTTCACTTACCCTTTTCCACATTTTACATTTTCTTCTTTTCTTTCCTAACTTTTCTCCTCTTTCCTACCGTTGTTACCCTAATGCGTGCCAAATATTGTACAACAAAATGAATGTCTAATTGTTAAAAATTTGTTCATATATTATTATTTACAATGTGTTTGGTTATATGAGTTGGATCTGATCTATGACATGTTGTTTTATATGTATTTTACAACTATGGAAGTGTGGTATAATGGAGTCTCATCTGATTTGGTCTATTTAATTATATTTTGATCTTATCGATCTAGAATTGAATCCAGTCTAACTAAAAACTTCCTAAGTGTAACAAGTGTTTAATAATAAATTAATCATTCCTTGTCACTGCACTCAAAATCTTTGAACCAAACAAAGCCTTTTTTTATTTTCCTTGTGTAATTATTTCCATCTATATCAGTCTTAAATTTTAAATTTAATACACAATGAATTAGAATATCATGCAACACTATCAGAATATGCAGTAGGGTAAAAATTGTACCACATCCACCCAAAAAAATATGACTAGTTAAGTAGTTTGTTTGTTTGTTCAAAGTTTAAATTATATAAGAGCTTTCAGATTACAACTATTAAAAGCTGTGAACTATGGGTTCAATTATTCAAAATTTCATTGATGGTTTAACTATATATTTATCATATTCAGGTTGCTTACCATTAATTCTTTCTTCTTTTTTGAAAGTTTAATGAAAAAATTAGCTTCATTTGATGAATCAAATAATGCTACATTTATAATTAAAAAAATACAAATGTTCTAAAAGTTATGCTATATCTACTTATCTGTTATAAATTTTAAAACTTCTATCACTTTGGAGAGAAATAGTTTCAAAATAGGTCTCAACATATTTTTAAACTCTGCCAACATTGATTTTTTTTGTCCATTTCATTTTCGTGATGTTATCCCTAAAATCTACAATATATTTCATTTTGCTCCACGTAAGTTCATCAAGAAACCTGATAAGAAAAATAACGTGGCTCATATAATTCACTATCACCATACCACATCAACTTTGTAGAGATAATTATTATTAGAGTTAGGATAAGCAGAAACCATGGAAGTAGATATTTAAGTGTATGAGTGTATCCAAAAATGGAATGCTGTATAAAACTGAGAATGAAATTCTACTACTCTAGCAAAGCATAAGATTGGCACAATTTCATTGCCACTTAACATACCTGTAATTTAGTACGATGCATCTTTTAGTATGCTGCATTATACTACGTCATACAAAATCTAACTGTTTTGTGTTTTTTTTTTATTTCGCAATATTTACAGCAAACACTAACCGAACTACATGAGCTCCATCAGACAATACAATAGCTCCAAAGTGATACCCTTTTGAGGCTTTCCTGCCATCAAATGAGACAGCGAAAGATGATTTCTTTTTTCCTTTATTAAAAACAATCCTTTCAGGAGAAACCTTGACCTTCAAACCCTTTGGAGCAACAACAGAAGAAACATATGCAGCATCCGTGGGGCCCACGTTCGTGGCAATCCTCTTGATAGTTGTGACACCATCCTGCTGGGTTTGTTCACCGATGGAGATCGAAGGGAAATTTAGGTTTGGTATAAGTTTCCGGGTAGTACCATTAGTTTGGCATTCAAATGCAGTCTTTGATATTGCTCTGATGTGTTTCTCTTGGTAGCCATACAAGCATAAGAAGTTGAGGTAATCACTGGTTCGTGTTTCGAATACCAAGCCTGGATCAAGAGCTTTGGTTGGATTGATCTCCCCAGCACCCATTTCATGGGGATTGGCTTGGAAATTTGAAGTGTTCATCAATGGGTTTCCATTGTTGCTTGATATAGATGCTACCAATGCAATAAAACACCAAGGAATAAGAGCACCATAAACGTTTATGTATCTATGGATCAAGAAACAGGAATCGGTTTCTTGAAACCATTTATTTTAGGGTACGTTCGGAGCCCGAAAATTGCAATGCAAGTTACTTTCTTATTTTTTGTTTTATTATAAAAACCAAGAAATATGACATTTTAGTTTCTTGAATGTATTTAAATTTTTTAGTCTTTATATCACATATAATTAAATAAATCAAAGAGTTACACTTGTGATCCCGATCTAGGTTGGCAAATTCTGAAAAAGGCCCATACACTATTAGATATAGTCACTTTGCCCCCCTGTGGTTTTAAATATATACATCAACATCCCCTTAAATTTGAAATGTATACCCCTAGAAAGTGTATCACTAACAGGGAGATCACAGACATTTTAATAATATAGGGGTCTTTGTAATATTATATCAAAGTAATAGACCTTGAGGGAGTTGTCACACAATACTCGGTACGCACAATTAATTTGAACAAATGTCTAAAATAGATTAATTGAGTGCATGAAATTAATTTTAACAAATATCTAAAAAAGTTTTAATGAGTTTGAACCGGTCTCCCCCCATATTTCCTTTCCAAAATTTTCCTCTGCTTTCCTCACTATATCTTTCCCTTACATTCTTTCCTAAATAGACATTAAGAGAAAACGTAAACGACATAACTTCTTTACTGATTGACATGGTGTTGCAATGCAATGAAATCACAAGTGATTAACACATTATTGTACTTACCTATCAATAATGAGGAACTAAAGCTTTAGAGAGCATTTATCTCACTAGGACACGATACAACTTACAAGCATTTAACTTTCTACCTGTTGTCATAATTGCAGATTTGATCATTGACGAGCTCCATTTGGGGTGTACAGATTTTATGAATGCCACAACACCAGCAACATGGGGGCAAGCCATAGACGTCCCAGACGTGATGCTGAAGAATGACGGCTCCGTGGAAGTTAAGGTCTCATCAGGGACAGTTGCAGCCAATATCGATACACCAGGAGCCATTATATCAGGCTATACAAGTATCAACCTTTTTTATTAACTATTAACAATTTCACACTACTAAAAGCAATGCTATAATACATACTAGTATACTACTACCAATGTCCCAAACAAAGTCATGCTTGACCAGTGTAAAAACTTGGGAAAGGTACAGCTGCCGTAAATCGCCGATCACATTATACTTTGATAATTTATTTGTTGATTCAACTAAAGTTCTCATAAGTAACTTGTGTAAGACCCCTTTTTGGCAATTTCATAACTTCTATCAATGATTAGCTTGGTTTGATCAGATTAGTCTCTTTCATTACAATCAAAAAAGGTGTGTGAAGCATGACTCCTTTATTTAGACAAAGAGAATACTGCATTTCAAAATGGGTGAGTTTTAGGCAAGGAAGAACCTTAAGAACATCTTGTGTGAGCGAAGCAGGACCTCTTGAAGAAAAATCTGCAACTATTGGAGCCTGCCTAATGTTGCGAACTTCTTTTGCGGGAAATATTGTGGCAATTGGGTACCTATACACGTGAGAATGTGAGATAATATCATTCAATTATTCTTATTAGCAAAAGTTTCCAAATTAATTTTTATCAATAAGTACTCTTGATTACTTGGTGGTATTAATGTACTTCAAGATCTGAAAACCCAAATCTTTTCTAACTTCTGCAAAAGGGTACGCTCCTGAGTCAAATGGAGAACTGTTCTCAAAACCATCTATCAAAATGAGACCTTTTGCTCCAGCGTCTTCCACAACTAGCTTCTTGATTGTTCTAGACACAGCTAAATCATCATGCATACACACAACTATTTTCCCGGTGACTTCTGTTGTGTTTAGAGTTCCAGGTGCACAAATCCTTCAAAAAAGGAAGACATAAAGCCAGTGAAACTTCTTCAGTCCTTATGTCAAACACATTGTGGGCAAAAGAAAAGGACTCAACAAGTTCACCTAGCCCCGGAACGTAAGGAGGGGTCCGCTGCGACATTTTCGGCAAACGCGAGAGGGAAGCTGCTAGGGTGGCCAGAAAGAGAGAAACTAACGGCTGTTCCCTGTTACAGCAATAAGATTACATTAACAAGATCATATTTGTCCCTTCATTCCCTTCCCACTATTAATGTCCGTGCTGAAAAGTTTACCTTAAAATACATCCCGTTTCCGAGGTGCACAGTTGTCTCGAATTTCCTGTCGATAGTTGAAGCGGCGACGGTGAAGATCCACGG